AATGTTGTCCTAGTGCCTGTGGCCGCTCCTGCAGAACCCCAATCATCGGTAATGTCCTGCCTAGCCCTGGTGGGGAGGGAGGAACCAGCAATGGCAAGATTCTGCCTTGAGTGGGGCACCACAAACCTCTTTTAGAGCCCACAAACCAGCCCTGTACCTGCAACCCATCTGTGAGTGCCTCCGCCCCACAAGCAGCCTTGTGATCTCCCACTAGTTTGGTTTCTAAGGTCTCCAAGCCACCAAGGGTGCTATGGGGGATCCTGCCCTGAGACAAACAAGATGGAGGCCCCTGGGACACATTTGACCTCAGGGTTCCACAGACATTAAATTTCCCTATTCATAAAATAGGGTTTTTCAGTTCAGGGGTGCAGTGAGATGGGCCCAGCAAGGAAGGCTGTGAGCATGAGAGCGCTTTGGGTGCTAAAGGGCTAGCCCATCTCTCTCCAGAAGCTGCCCCCAAAGCTGGTAGCTGCCCCTGGGTGAACAACCAGATCTCCCAGCTGTGTCAGGAGGAGGACGAGTGCTCCCGTGACAGCGAGTGTTATGGTGACAAGAAATGCTGCATGAGCAATTGTGCTAGGAGGTGTCTGGACCCTATCCAAGGTATGCAGCCTCAATATCGCCCCTTGGGTCCCTTTCTCCCTTGGCTTTCTCTGGTTAGCACCTCATCCTCAGGGGGCAAAGGGTGGGGGTAAATCAGAAACAGGCCAGGAGGTAGATCCCAGGTTCCACAGAGGTTCTCTTTGCCAACTCACTGTGACACTGCAGGTTTCCTTGGGCACTTGATGTGCCACTCAGGTCAGGAGTGGCTATCAGTAGAAAAGGGAGCTTAGAGAAACAGTCCAGAACTCAGATCAGGCAGCTGGTGGGACTTGGTCTTGGGGGGCCTGTGCCTTTGGCACTTAATCTGAAGGGGAGTAAAGAGCTTGAGGTTAGGAGCTTCAGTGAGACATGGGTTCAGAGCTAACTCTTCATACCTACCTGTGACCTCCACATCCTTCACTGAGGAGAATGGTGGCCTTACCTACCTGCCCAAAGGCAATACTGAGGGCAGGGGCAGTGGTGTGAGAGCTGTGCTTTCTCAGGAAAGGCACCTGTTCACCACATCTCTGAAAAAGTAGAGGTGAACAAGCTAGCACATGAACCACAGCATAGATGACCAAACCTCCTCTCCCTATACTCCTATCCATTCTCCACTGTAGAGAGCCCTCTCCAGTAAGGAGCCCACCCGAATCCCCTGACTGCCAGGAGAGGCCATGTCCAGTCTGAACCCCAGCAAGAATCTTCTCTCTTGGATCCAGTGACCATATGATGTCTCCTATCTGCTGCTAATAAAAAATCCATTTGGCTTTAAGTCTCTCTGTCTATCTATCCGTCTGTTCTAGGCACCCAAAGAATGGACAAAGCAAACACAGAACTTATCCCTGGGATCTCTGGGGTGGCTGGGGTGGCTGTATGGGAGCAGGCAACTCCCCCCATGGGGATAAGTGTGTGGGGGAGAGCTGGGAGTTCAGTCAGGTTCACTGAGTTTGGGCTAACTCCAGAAAAACTATGGTGGATCTCTGGGCTGGGAAAGAAGTCATCCTACCCAGCCCTGGTGTTATCCAGCCAGTTACCCTGTTACTGACCCCTTCTGAAGTATGACCACCAGGAGCTGAGACTGTGGAAGTCTTGGGGCCCAGAGGGTACTGGGGACTTGGCCAGTCTGGGCAGCATGGAGAGAAAGCAAAAGCATAAAAGGAATCAGAGGGGAGATGGGGCATGTGTTGACACCACGCTAGGTCAGCCTTCTGTAAAGTCTCTAACAAAGTGTATCTGCCCCGCTCCAACACCAGTTAGGCATCCTAAAACCCATGCCAATCCTGATACTGGCAGCCTGGGTTCACATCAGGTCTCACAATTTAGGGGCTGAGTCCCATAAGCCTGCACCCACTCCACATGCCAGCCACAGTCCCAGGGCTTTCTTCACTTCCAACTAATAAGACTGAAAATTTGAAGGTTTCTGTGATCCCTTCAGCTTCAGTGGTTCACTAGAATGATGGCAGAAGTCACTAACTTTATTATTGTTCTTCTATCATAAAAGATACAGATCAAGAGGAGCCAAATAAAGGGACACACAGTGTGAGGTCAAGGGGTGGGAGGATGCAGGAGAGTCTTTCCCCATAGGATCTGGGTGTGCCACCCTCCCTGCACATCAGTGTGTTCATCAACCCACAAGCTAGCCTGAGCTTCGACATCCAGATCTTTTATGGAGGTTTCATTACATAGGCATGACTGATTCGATAATTGGCCATTGCTCATTGAAGTCAATCTCCAGCCATTCTCTCCCTGGAGGTCAGAGGTAGTGCTGGAATTTCCAACCTTCTTATCCTGTGGCTGGTCTTTCTAGAGACCATACCCCATCTAAAGCTAAAGAGGTGAGAATCACCTCTTTAGCAAAGACCCTACTACCACTAAAAATGTTGTGGTGGAGACCACCATCTGGGATCCACCCTAAACTTCTGGCTCTCAAATTTGACTGCAAGTCTATCGAGCTGAAGTAGGTTTTTCATGTACCCCACATGATTCAGTAATCCACCAGATTGGAAAGTTGAGGCTGCAGTGGCCTCCAGCTCTCTCAAAGAGCAGAGCAGGGGCCTGAAATGGAGAGGTGCTCTGTGGACTGTAGGTGGCAAACACCAAGCCATACACTGTGATATGATTACAAATATCCTCCAGTCTTTGTCCCTGGTGCATTTTTAAATAAATACACACACACACACACACACACACACACGTTGTAGATGAACACAATACCTTTTTTTAAATTTATATTTATGTGGTGCTGAGGATTGAACCCAGTGCTTCACACATGCCAGGTGAGCGCTCTACCACTGAGCCACAAACCCAGTCCTGTCCCTGGTTCTTGACATGGAGCTTCTAAAACAGAGTACTCCCTAAACTCACTTGGCAATTGAGGTGGCCAGCTGGGTTTGTTATTTGGCTTTATTCATAGAGAAACAAATTTTTCAGGTATCTAAAACAGGAAGCAATTTTGCATCTTGGGGTGAGACACACACACACACACACACACTTTCCACAGAGTTAAAGTTCCCATCCTCCCACAGAAACTAAGTGATAGGGGCACTGAATTTCTTGATGTATACATATCAAAGAAAGTACATACCATCACAAGATAAATGCTCTGAAGAAAGAATGGGGGAACTCCCCCCCCCATTTTTTAAAATTTTTATTTTTTAGTTGTAGTTGAACACAATACCTTTATTTTATATTATTTATTTATTTTTATATGGTGCAGAGGATCGAACCCAGAGCCTCCCACGTGCTAGGCAAACGCTCTACCGCTGAGCCACAACCTCAGCCCTCTCCCCCATTTTCAACTGGAAAAATTTGCCTTTAATTTTCACACCCTCCCCCATGCTGGGGATGGAACCCAAGGCCTCATGCATAGTAGGTATGTGCTCTACCACTAAGCTACACCCCAAGCCCTTACCTATAATCTTTAACTCATTTTGCTTTACAGACTTGAGCCCGGCTCAAGCTCTACTTCAAGCAAACTAAGAACTGAGTCAGTGTTTCTCTTCTGGATCTTGATCCCCAAAGTAAGGCAAGAAGAATGAAGTTTCCCAAGCAAGGGATGAGTGCTAATGGGCAGCGATGCTTTAGTGGAACTTGCTGGAGATGATCGGCCTCCTTCTGAAGTTGGGCCAAATCTGACCATTCCTGAGATGGAACTTGAGAGGTGGGTTCAGTCACTCTACATGGATCCATGGGAGATGGTCATAGCCCCACCAAGGCACTGAGCTCTGTGTCCTCTTTTAAAGAAGGATGTTAGAACTGAGGAGACCGAGCTGGTACCAAGCAGGCTGGTGAGCCCACGGGAGCTTGGCACCTGACAGTTCCCTCTGGTTGCAGAAAACTGAAGCCAGGCGTAGGCGGTGGCCCGGCGGCTTCAAGGAACCTCAAGACCTAAGGGTGCTTCATCAGCTCAAGCCCTCGCGTCCACCTTCTCACACGGAAGAAACACGGTACGTGGTACGTTTTCCGTAAAAAGAAAACACGGTACGTGCGTCTGATCTTTGGTTTGAGCCTGCATATCTTAAACCAGTTCTGCTCCCAACCCCCGCCCTTTTTTTTTTTTTTTTTTTTTTTTGTGGTGCTGGAGATTGAACCCAGGGCCTTGTGCATGGAGGCAAACACTCTACCAACTGAGCTATATCCCCAGCCCTTCTCCTCCCCTTTTCTCTGCGTCTCCCATCACTACATATCGCGCTACGTTGCGTGTATCCTCAGACCCCACGAGCAAACCCAAAAAAGGCGGTAGGCGTGGCTCCTAGAGGGATGGCTTCCACCGGGGCGACTTCCGGTGAACTACGTTTCCGGTGGCGCTCCTAATGACGTAATGAGCGCGTCTGCCTCATGGGCCTGGGGACAGTACGGGCGGCGGATGGAGGTCAGCAAGAGTGTTCGCGGCGTAGGTCCGGCGCCATCGTGGGTGGGGGAAAGGGCTACTGAGCGTGGATACTGAAGGCTTGAATGCAGAGGTGTGGTGGGCCTGGAGTGGGTGGGGGCGGCGACCTCGGAGAGGGGGCCGGTAGGGGAGCTACACGCGGTCGATCCGGGGAAGGGCTCAGCGAGGGTGTTGGGATCCTAGAGACCCGGAGGAGGAAGCCAGCGGGGACGCTGAACTGTGGGGGTGCGGGTGCTGGCGAAGGAGGCTGGCAGGGGGCTGAACGCGGTGGGCTCGACGGCTGCCTGCTTGGTACAAGCTGGCGAGTGCGCATGCGCCCCTTCTGCCTGTGGCGTCCACGAGGCCGGGCCTGGAAGGTGCTTCCTTCCTGCGTTGACCCTTGGTGTCCCCAACGAGTCGATTTTCGTATGGCTATATTTGAGCAGCAGACTTCCGAGTTGATATTTGCCTAAGCCTAAGTGCGGCTTCTGGTCTTATTTCCCTTCTCCAAACAGCTTTTAGAATTATCTTAAAAATTGGAAAGATTTTCCAGCGCCTCCCTCACAGTGCCTGGATTAAAAGTGGTAAAAGTGGGGCTTGAGCAGACGCTCTTTTCTGTACCTGATATTTTTTCCCCTTATGTAGAGTTAAGTTAAGCTTTTTACATCTGCAATAATTGCTCGTGTGAAAATAAAATTTTACAGCCATATACTGAAGTCCAGGAAGTAGAAGAAAATAAAAGGTGCTTTCTGTTTGGGCAGAAGCAAGGCTCCCATTACATATCTTAGCCAGGTTATTCAGTCACCCTAGGGAGCAAGACTGGCAGAATTGTTAAAAGTAACATCATAAGGGTATGAAACAGGTTCTTGAAAGAAGTTGACATTTTGTGGGGCTTGGAAAAATGAAGTGTTTTTTGATGGGCCCTATGATGAGGAATAGCAAGCCTGCAGGGTAGAATGCAAGTGCAAAGCCTGATTAGAATAAGGCCTTGGGTAATGGGGAGATGAGATAAAGCTAGGAAGATAATTTGGGGCCATGTTAGGAATGATTTTTGTGATTCAGAAGTTTTGTTCTTAGAAATTGAGGGAAGGGAACTCCAGTCTCCCTTGGTTTGGGGGAACTCACTCCCTTGTCTGGATTGTTAAAATATATCCACAAAAGCTTTAGGAAAGTGAGTTTTCCAGGATCATTCTCCAAACCAGTAATTCTTAATCCTGGTAACCTTGTGATGGGAGATGGGGGGATTAATGCTCTCTCAGCCTTACCTGTAGAGATTCCCAATCAGGAAGTATTGGGCAGGACCTGGTAGTCTGAATTGTTAACCACGCAGGTAACTTTGAAGCACAACCAGTGCTTTACAGGCTTCTGAGTTTTGATATTTGATGACATTATGTACTGAAACAAAAGCCCTCTGAGGTGTTACTTCAGAAAGTACTGTCTCAGAGCTGGGCATTGTGGCAAGTGCCTGTACTCCCAGCTACTTAGGAGGCTCAGGAAGAGGATCACAAGTTTAAGAGCATCTTGGGCAAGTTAGCAAGTCCCTACCTCAAAATCCAAAAAAAGTTTGAGAATTTAGCTCATGATAAAGTGCCCCTGGGTTCAATCCCCAGTGCTACAGAGAGAAAGAAAACTATCTCACACATGGATAGTCGAAAAGGAGAAAGATTAAGGCTGGTTTTAGGGAGAGGGTAAGTGTGATTTCATGTCATTTGTCATGTTTTTCTCCTGAATTTATGGGTCAGGATCTGCTACTCTAGGACCGTCTTCTCTTTTTTTTTTTCCTCAGGGCTTTGGAATCATTTGCTAGGAGTCTTATCTCCTGTACTCCCAGGCCATAATGGCAGCCCGCCTAGTGAAACAATGCACATACCTCCTGAGAGAAGCCACTCGCTTATCCCCTGCTATGGCTCCAGTTAGTCGACTGAGACTTGCCAGGACAGCCCATAAGACTTTGACCTTCTCAGCCATCTCACACAGTTCCCACTCTCCAGGTTCCTTGACAGAGTTGGTAGAAAAGGATCAAGTGTTTACTCCTTACCCAGAGCGCCAAGAGATAGACCGGCTCATCGAGAAGGCCACCAGTCCACAGGAGCTCTTAGAGCTGGTTGGTGGTGATCAGAGCCTGCACCACAATCATGCGGCCCTCATACTTATCCGCCTTTCTCATCTGCTATCCGAGAAGCCAGAAGACAAGGCCTTGCTCATACAGGATATTCGCTTTCAGCAACTTCTTCATCTAGTCAGTAGTCAGGTGGGTGCAAACATGTTGTTTGAGGGCTTAGAGGAAGGGACAGTAGCCAGAGGCACCAGTGATAGACAGCCCCCCCCCCCCCAAGCATCTTGTGGTGGTTCTTTTTCTAAATTTCAAGTACTTTTATGTGCTTTCTGCATTTATCCTTATAATAACCTTGGTAGGTATATATTTCTATCATCATTTTATAGACAGGCAACCAAACACACAGAAACAAGTATAGTAAACAAGTCTGATTCTTCTCATTTCCTTTAGTACTTTCTCCCTTCACATATTACATTGATTTACATTCCCAATTCAATTCCCAGTGTCTGGGTGCTGACTGGACACTACTGTTGAGGCTGGAGGAGATGCAGTATGACCAATGGATGGCCCTAAAGTTTAAGCTGGGCCTCAGTGTAACCTAGCCACATTCATACTTTGAAAGGATGAGCACAGAGAAGAGACAAGGCCCATTTATGTGACTCTCAGGAGTAGCACCTTATTTCAGAAAACCAGTTTCTGCTCTATATAAGGAAAGGGCCCTTCACATAGTGCTTCCCTGGGCTCCATAGCAAAAAAAAGAAATATAATTCCTATCTTCTCCAAACTGGCCATACATAATCTGCTGGAAAGGAGGTACTCAGGCACTGAAACCGTGTACCCAGTTGTCATACATGATGAGGAAAGGGTTGTGCTGAATATTGAATATATGAAGCTGAAGGTTTTTAAATCATTATAATGCAGTATAGCTGGTTTTCCCATGAATTAGGACAGTATAACTAATTAGCACTTTTGTTTTAATTAGTTATGTACAGTGTGCTTGCACTGTGTGTACTGAGTTCAGGTACAAGCACACAGTCATAAGATTAATTCCATAGGTCCTTTCTTGTTCTGTAGTTTTAATTGTTACTTATTGAATGTTTTTCACACACTTGATTGAAACAAATCTTTTAACAAACTAAACATTGGAAAAATTGTAAGGCAGTAACAACATGGAAATAGATTGTTTGTACTGTAAATAGTAACAATGCTTGCTTTCAGAAAATTTTCCACAGGATACCAGAAAGATGCAGATACCTGGACCTTATGTGAGACTATAATGAAGTACTTTGTTCTTCTTCCCCAACCTTTCAGATTGCAGCTATTCTGTTCCTAGCTTACTTCATTTCATAGGTGGTTTATGTAACCCTTTCACAGGTAAAGAAATGAGCTAAGGAGTTGATGTGAAGACACTGAGCACAGGAAATGGTAGCCATGCTTGTTTTACCATCTTCCATGAGGATGAGGTCTGGACCTCATTGACCTTTTGACTCCTTAACTCTGTGAGACCTTGAGTCACTTCTTGCATGGGGCAGAGTTGGCCTCTTCAGAAATGAGATGGGCACCAGCAACAGAGGCAGAGGGAGCCCGTTTTCTGCTGGTGATCGGGTCAGCTTATCTTTCCTAGGATACCTCGACATTTGAGAGTTGTCAAGGCATAGTGGTTACTGGGATTGGAGGGGTTTGGTTTGTTTAACTCACCTGTCTTAAGACTTTTCCTGTGAACCTTCATGTATCAGGGAATACCTGCCTCTGAGGTAATCAAGAGGCTCCCAGGCTTAAGTCACTCTACTAGAGGATATGGGGTAATGATACACTTGAGCCCTATCCCTGTTGTTTTTCAGGATGTCATTTCTTCCACTTATTACATTAATTAGAAACAAGTGATTACTATGTTGAAGTGAAGTTTTAAGGGTTGAAGTTTGGCATTGTAAGTAAAAGTAATGAGTTGTGGACAAGACTGACATTAGAAAGTCTAAAGTGCTGCCTTCTTTGCTATCAAATCAGACCCATACTTTCTAACCTTAGTCTCTCCCCCCCCCCCACACTTCCCCATACTAGGGATTGAACTCAGGCACTTGATCACTGAGTCATGTCCCAAGCCCATTTTGTATTTTATTTAGAGACTGGGTCTCACTGAGTTGCTTAGCTCCTCACTGTTGCTGAGGCTGGCTTTGAACTCATGATCCTCCTGTCAGCCTTCCGAGCCACTGGGATTAGAGGCATGTGCCGCCATGCCCAGCTCTGACCTTGTTCTTGACATGCTCTGCTTACAGTTTGGATCTACAAGTCTGCACAGTACACAACAGGGGAGGTGGAACATGGTTTCTATTGAATCAGCCACATCAGGTCAGCTCTATGTTAGGGAAACTTAGAGAATTTCTCTTACCACTCAAAGAGTTCTTGCATGCAAACTACATTACCTATCTTGAACAGAAACTCTTGATTTATTAGTTTCAGGAAGCAAGCCCAAAAGGGATAGGTGCCAGGCCCTGTTAGAGCAGGACAGGTGCTGTTCTCTGAAGAGTTTTAGTAAATATTCCTGGAATGGCAGCTACCACCCCAGACGCAGAATCTCTGGGGTGACATATGTGATTGCCCTTTTCCTTTCTCTGTCCAGATAGCCACAGTCTGGCATGGGACTCTTGTGAAGCTGCTGCGGAGCTTATACATTTTGGCACTCCCCGGGACCTCTAAGGAACTGCAGTCAGTGGAGCAAGAGGTGCGCTGGCGCCTGCGGAGGCTCAAATACAAGCACCTGGTCTTCCTGGCTGAGTCATGCGCTGCCTCCATGCAAGAGCAGCATTCCAAAGAGCTGCTGGCTGAGTTGCTGGTGCACCTAGAGAGGCGCTGGACAGAGATTGAAGATGGCCGCACAGTTGTGGCCATCATGATGAAGGCAGGGCACCTTTCAGAGTCATTGATGAACCGCCTGGAAGACAAGGTATGGGAATGAGAGCATGCTGCCCCTGGCCTGCCTCCCTGGGGACTTTGGACTTGTGCAGTGGGACAGGAGCCCTAGAAACTTCTGTCTCAGATGTCTCACAAGGAAGGACCAGAGGGTTCCAGAGAGCAGGTAGTTACTCTATGACATTAATTCAGCACCACCCATACACTACTCCTAATATAAGCTACTTCCTTTGATTGCATCTGTCTTTCTCCTATTTCTCCCACCTACATGATATTGAAAGGCATGAGAGATAGTTCCAGAAGTTAACACGGGTGTCCTGGGCCAGCCCTTGCACAATAGCCCAGCTTCTGGAAGAACTCTCCCAGAGGTGCTGTGTCCCCCACCCACTCTCTCCTTGCAGTCAAGTCAAATTCAGCTCCCATCTTCTCATGGTGGGGGCTGGCCCAGATGGCTGCTACAGCAAGTCACGCTGTTCATGGGCCCTGTGTCCCCTGCTCTGGGACATGGGGATAAGTTTGGCTGCGGACATGATACTCTGGGTCCAGGAGTCCCTGAGGCAGGGGAGGAGGCAGGCCCTGCCTAGATGGGCCTGTGTTGAGTAGCTCAGGCCCAGTTGCTGTCTCACAGGGACTGCACTGGATGGGACCCCTGCCCCCAGCTCATCCCTGCCACCTCAGGCCATCAAGCTGACCCCTGCGCGACTGTGGTTGACAGTGCCTGGAGCTGGTGGAGCAGTTTGGCCCTGACGAGTTGCGGAAGGTGCTAATGACGCTGGCAGCTCAGAGCCGGCGGTCGGTGCCCTTGCTGCGGGCCATCTCCTACCACTTGGTACAGAAGCCCCTCCCGCTGACGAAAGGCATGCTTCTGGACCTGGCTTATGCCTACGGTGAGGAGGGTAGGAGCCCTGGCAAGGAGCCACCTGCAGCTTTGTCAAATTCAGTGCTTATTCTACCCATGATAGGCACTGGCCCAGAAGGCTGCCACAGAAACATTGTGACTCATGGGCCCTGTTCCCTTTGACTAGGCTCAGGGATAAATTTGGTCACAGACAACAAACCCCTAGACCTCAAGTGTGAACAAAGTGGCAGAGTGGGTAGTTGCTGGTTTCCCCAGCTAAGCCTTGTGATCTGCAAACTCAGGCAAACTCAGCTTCCACCAGACACAAGTGTCCCAGCGCCTGGCTGCTGACCTCCTGTCACTCATGCCCAACCTGACATCTGGTGAGGTAGCCCACTGCACCAAGTCCTTCGCCTTCCTCAAGTGGCTCAACCTGCCCCTGTTTGAAGCCTTTGCCCAGGTGAGCTGGGGCCGACTTCAGGGCCCAAAGTCTGACCCAATTTAGAAACTGGCTCCTTAGGCCTCTGTTGGGAGACATTGTTTTAATTAGTGAAACAAAGCTAATCCAAAACATTCATTTTTAGGTGGTAAATTCAGATTTATTACTTTTTAGCAAATCTGGAACTAGATGTGTAGTGATAAAAAAAAGTATATGTATTTGAGAGCTGTTAACTGTTGTTGATTGTTGTGGTTGCATTCATCTTGAGGCAGCAGTAGCAAGGAAAGCAGAGGGCGAGGCTGAGAATCCTTAACTCTTCCTAGTTACTCACTGCCCCAGATGGAATTACAGGGAAAGATGCAGCCAGTCTAAACCAAGTGTTCCGATAGAGTATTTCTAAAGCCATCATCAGGGAGGTAGTTTCTAGATGTCCCTATCCTCTATGGACAGCTGCTGCTGGTTGGAGAAGGGTCTGGCCCTGTGTGAGTGGTGAGAGTTCGTTAGCCTGGGATAGGGTCCTCCAGCTGCCTCTGGAGGATTAGTCTTCACTCAGACTTCATCCTGTCCTTCTGCTGTCTCTGCATGGTTCAGCACATCTTGGACAGAGCCCAGAATGTTACCCTGCCTCACCTGTGCAGCATGCTTCTGGCTTTTGCCCGTTTGAACTTCCACCCAGAAAAAGAGGATCAATTCTTCAACCTGGTATGGGCTTCTACTCACTACCCATTAACCTCTCCCTGCCATCTCCTAGCTATTGGTTCTGAACTACCACTGGGTGAAAGGGGAGGGACCATGACCCCTGACACTGGGTGGGTTAGAAGAGGAATGGCATTCCAGGGACCTTTTGAAAATAGACACAAAATCTCATGTTGTCCTATGATGACTCCCTCACTTCTTTCTCAGTGTACCACCTTTCAACACACTGCTGCTGATGCCCTCCGGGGCTTCAGTAGTCCTATACAGAGATTCTGAGAAGGCTTGGCATTGGAAAGTTGGGGGTGGGGAGTGTCCTATGTGGACTAAGTGCACCCGCTATTGGGCAAAGGACTTTTTAGAAAGACCTGAGACGTCACAGAAACCACCAGACCAAGTTTGACCCCAGGCTTCCTGGGACACTACTGGGGACTGTCTGATAAGCTCTGGTACCTCTGGCCAGGGTCCAGCTCTTGCTCCCAGTGGCCTTCCCTGGCTACAGTGTTATAGGTCAAGACAAGGTCATTGGCTGCTGTCTGCACTTGCATGTAGCAGTCCCTAGGCAAGGCCAACTTTCCCTGCCACACCCTGTCCTCATCCAGGTACATGAGAGGCTAGAATCTGCACTTGCAAGCCTGGAGCCAACCCTACAGGTGGACCTAGTGTGGGCACTCTGTGTGCTGCGGCAGGTGCAGGAGGTGGAGCTACAAGCTGTTCTCAATCCTGGATTTCACACAAGATTTCTAGGTGAGATATTTCCCCACCCATAACCTACTGCACTGCTGCAGCTGGGAGGCTGCCTGATTTGCCTACCTAGAGCTAGGTAAGAAATTGCAGTAATGATAGGAGGAAGCCAGAGCACACCTCCAGGGCTTCTCCATCATTCCCTGCAGGTGACCCAAAGACCTTAACTCTGCTGGCCCCAACCCAGAGCACTAGGTCCAAGGCTGGGTAGGGAGCCACTACCCTCCCATTTAGGTTCTCTCTCAACCTCCATATCTGTTCCTCCTGGCCCTAACCTACCTGCTTCTCATCCCCCAGAGGGCAAGTGTCTAAAGGACCAGAGCACCCTCCAGAAGCTGCTCCACATCAATGCCACCGCCCTGCTGGAGCACCCCGATTACAAGGGCCCCCTCCTGCCAGCTTCAGCCTTGGCCTCCAAGCCTTCTGCCCCTGACAAGAAGATGACCCCCTTACAAAAGGAACTACAGGAAACACTGAAGGTGCTGCTGGGAAGCTCTGAGCGGGGCTGCCTTGAGGTGGCCACTCGATACGGCTGGGTGCTGGGTAAGGGCTCTCTCAGCTGGCAAAGAGCCTGACTCTTCCCAACTCTTAGCAGTTAAAATTGTTCTAACCCTTCTCTGCTGCAAGGAGCATCCCACAGAATTGCAGTGCCCCCTACTCCCCTGTTTCCACATTGTAGGGATGGTTTCTGAGGGGGTGGTCTCTGAGGAGGTGACAGTCCCAGCAGACTCTCATCCACACTTCTTACCAGATGCTGAGGTACTATTGGATGCTGATGGCCAGTTTCTGCCCCTGAGGGACTTTGTTGCACCTCACCTTGCCCAGCCAGTTGGGAGCCAGCCACTGCCACTGGGGGCTAAAAGGTAGGTGGCCAGGAATCTCCAGTAAATACATCCACAGCTCTTGGGCTATATACACGGACTGGTCTCGCTCTTTCCTCCAAGGAGTTGAGAGCAGCCCTTATCAGTCATCCTTCTTCCTGCCAGGGTTGCTTTCCTGCGCTGGGAATTTCCCAACTTCAATAGCCGAAGCAAGGATTTGCTGGGCCGCTTTGTCCTGGCTCGCCGCCACATGCTGGCTGCAGGCTTCCTGTTGGTGGATGTGAGTACTGATTGGGAGTGTGGTCCCTTCTGTACAAGGAGAAGAGCCAGCCTACAGCTGGAAGGATATAGACAGATGCCTAGGCCACCAACCTCTCTCCCCTATCCCTGCCAAGTCTTAGAAGCTAGAGCTTGGCCCCTAGGGTACATCTGGAATGCCATCAAGCCTCCCATTTTAGCTTTGGAGGTGGGTAGGGCTGGGCATCTCATTTACAGATGAGGAAGTGAAGCTCAGAAGGCTACACAACTATTGAGAATCAGAGTGGGTACTGGAGCTGCTGTCTGCCTCTCTTGTCAGGGTTGGTGCTCAGAAAAGGTAAGACCCGCAGACCTGTCCAATGATGTTATTATGTGACTACATAGAGTTCCACTGCAGTCAGAACAGGAAAACACAGGCCCAGGCCTGGCTAGAGTACTGAAAAATCTTGACTGAAACTAGAAGATGCTGATAAAGAGCCAGAGAGTAAATGCGTGCTTTTAAGGACTGCCTACGGGTTCTATCATGTTTTCTTCTTTGGGCAGGTCATTTGGTTTTTCAAATAACCCTTTAAAATTCAGAAACTCATAGGGCTCTCTTCATTCACAACCTGTAGCTCTTTGGCCTCTTCCCTAAGGCCTTGGGGGCTGAGGAGTATGTATGCAGAGATGTCATTCACCAATACTAACCCAAGGGTAAGGGGTCAGTATGAAGGCAGCAGGTAGAACCAAGAGACATGAATGGTCCTCCAGCCCTTATGACCTGTTCCTTCTGCTTCCCTCCAGGTCCCATACTATGAATGGGTGGAACTCAAGTCTGAATGGCAGAAAGGTGCCTACCTCAAGGACAAGATGCGCAAAGCAGTAGCAGAGGAACTGGCTAAGTGACCTGTCCCCATCAGTCTGGACACTACATGCACACAGGCTGACTGCCCAGAGGCCCGGCAGTGAATGCTGGGTAGGCAAGAATTGGCACCGTTGAGGATGAACTGTCTCAGTGTATGACTTTTGGGGAGTGGCCTGTAGCTCCCAGGAATCTCATGGCTAATAAATTTTAAATTTGGTGTTCAGAACCAGGTGGTTTTCCAGGCTTTGTCCCTCTCCTCTCCTCCGCTACCTGCCTGCTTTGGAAGGCAAGAAATGGCTCTTCGGGGCTTGGCATAGAGCCCAGCAAAGGAGAGTTGACTTGAAAGACAGAACACCTAGGGCTCAGATCTCAGGTGTCTTTGCCTGCTGCCTGTCCCAGCTTCTTTTTGGGGACCCTTACTGTAGTGTGTGTGCATCCACATGTGCCTGCTTATTACTGCCTGGGGGCCTGTGACCAACCCCTGTGAACAGGTAGAGTCCTAGAATTAAGAATTTCCAGGGATAAGAAGCTTCCCAGAGGAAGTCAATTGAGTTTTTAGTGCATAGCTGGGCTTTTGACCCAGCCTGACTACCTGGGAGGCTCCCTGTCACCCCTTGTTACACACTTAGATAAGTGGAAGGTCCACTTGTGATGGCTTGTGGTGACAGGTGATGTGAGGGCTGGGTAGATACGTGGGAGGCCCTGACTGAAGCCTTATGCTACCGTTTTGGAAACCATCTGCCCAGATGGGGTCCTGAGGCATCCCCCTTTATGCTGAGAAGCACTAGGGTGTGTACCTTTCTACTAACAATAGAAACTCCCATTGGCAGAGCCAACCTGAAGAGGGTGTGGGTGGTGTGGGTCTCCTCTAGCCATTGGGTGAACCCACTCACCACCTCTCCCCACCTCAACCCATTCCATCAAAGAAAATAAGTATTTGTCCTGTCCACCACTTGGGGCCACTGGTTTTTATTTTGAGGTAATTGGGGCACCATATAGTTATTAAGAAACACTCAGATGTTTCCCTCTAATAGAACTGGATGACAAGGGCCTACTGTAATACTGACATAAGCAGAAGTCAGGCTAGCTGTTCTCATCATCACGTTGGCCATAGGACAACTCTTGTCCTCAACCCATCTGCAACCATGAGCCTTTATTACTACTCTTTTGTCATCCTAAGAATGCTACCCCTAGCCAGGTGAGATGGCACACACCTGTAATCCCAGTGGATTGGAGAGGCTGAGGCAGGAGGATCACAAAGCCATCCCCTAAAGGGGATCACACAATTTTGACTTAGATTTAGAGAAATATGAATTCTCAAGATTTCATTCATATCATTGCATATGCTGATAACTCATTTCTTTGTGTTGCTTAGAGCTGTGCAGCTCTTTTTTTTTTTTTTTTTTTTTCTGTTGTTGTTAGATGAACACAATACCTTTATTTATTTTTATGTGGTGTTGAAGTTTGAACCCAGTGTCTCAACATGTGCTAGGCAAACACTCTTCCACTGACCACAACCCCAGCCTCAGAGCTGTGTAGCTGTATATCCCATGATATGGCTTGACCACAACATTTACTCACATACCCATATAGGTCTTGGAAACTTTTTCAGTTATTTTCCTAAGAGTGTTAATAGTTTATATTTTACTTTTAATTCCATGATCCGTTTTGAGGATGTACTGAAGTTTTCTCCAAATGGAGAAACTTAATTTGCACAATTTTTGTGAGTCTTAAATTGTTTTGTTGTTGTCGATTTGGTATCAGGGATGGAATTCGAGGGTCACTCAACCACTGAGCCACATCCCCAGCCCTATTTTGTATGTTATTTAGAGACAGTCTCACCAAGTTGCTTAGCGCCTCACTTTTGCAGAGGCTGACTTTGAACTCGCAAACCTCCTAACTCAGCTCCCAAATTGAGAAGTTTTTGTTACCTCTCGATTTCCAACTACTCAGGACCATTTGTTGAAAAAGCCATCTAGGCATGGTGGTGTATACCTGTAATCACAGCAGCTGGGGGGGTGGGGTTGAGGCAGGAGGATCACAAGTTTGAAGCTAATGTAGACAACTTGCAAGACCCTGTGTCAAAGTTTAGTGAAGGGCTGGGAATGTATGTAGCTCAGTTATAGAGCACTTGCCTACCATGTGTAATTCCTGAGTTCAACCCCTAGTACCACAAAAAAAAAAAAAAAAAAAAAAGACTATCCTCTCCCATTGACATGTTTTTCCACTTCAAAAAGTCAGTTGGGGTGGTGGCTCAGTGGTAGAGTGCTTGCCTAGCATGTGTGAGGCACTGGGTTTGAGTCTCAGCACCACATTTAATAAGCAAAAGTAAAGCTCTATCAGCACCTAAATAAAGTTTAATTTAAAAAAAAAAAGTCATTTGGGCGTCCGGCAAAGCGGGCAGTGAGTTCAAAGCCAGCCACAGCAAAAAAACGAGGCACTAAGCAACTAAGTGAGACCTTATCTCTAAATAAAAAACAAAATAGGGCTAGGGATATGGCTCAGTGTTTGAGTGCCCCTGAGTTCAATCCCTGGTAACCCCCCAAAAAAGTCAACTGAAGGACACAGCTCTGGGGCCCCTTCGTTTTGGAGAAGTCCATCTCTGTTCTATCCTTTAAATAAATAAAACTCGCTTTCTACACTTGCCTCAGCGTTTCTCAGGTGTTCAATCTTCCCATCAGGGAAATGGGATTTGGCCCTCATTCTCATCTCCAGTCCCACCGAGATCATCATTGAGAAGCACCCACCTCTCAGATGGCTTTACAACCTGTTACTTCCAAATACGACTTGCTATGAACCTGTCTACTGATCCAAAACATTCCTAAAAGGGTAACCCAAACTGCTTGCTCCACATCACCCCTTCTCAGCTCAAAGCAACCAGGGTAGTCATCATCCATTTTCCCTTACCAGCAGTAAGGGTTCCCTTCTGTGGGTGGGAGGACAGTCAGTGTACATAATGAATGATTGGGTCAGAAAAGAGTGTGTTGCTGATTCAAGAGGTAATAAATGCTAATGTTAATTCCCTCCTGCAGCCTATTATGAAGTTACCTGCCTCCAAGAAATCGTTCCTCCCTGCAAGGGATTGCTAAAGAATGCCCCCTGGGTTGCTCTTTTCCTGCGGGTACCCTCTTGGCGGCTACATATTCCTGCCCTTAGATCACTCCACCTTTTGGCCCACCTTTTGGTCACTAGTCAAGTAGGCAGGTTGGAGGGAGGAGAAAGTGTGAGAACAAAGGAAATCTAAAATGTGTAAAAAGGGCAAGATAGCCCCACTTCCTCAGACATATAGCTCTGGGGCCCCTTAAGAGAAATCTATTTCTGTTCTATCCTTAAAATAAATCTTTCTTTCTATTAAAAAAAAAAAAAAAGTCAATTGGGACCAGGAATGTGGTGCACACCTGTAATATCAGCAACTAGGGAGGTTAAGGCAGGAGGATTGCAAGTTTGAGGCCAGCCTCAGCAACTTAGCCAGACCTTGTTTGAGGTAAAAAAAAAAATGAGAGTGAAGGATGTAGTTCAGTGGTAGAATGCCCCTTGGCTCAATCCCTAGTACTGGGGGGCGGGGGGGGGGAGTCAATTTGGCACATTTGTGTATGTTTATTGCTGACTTTTTGTGCTGTTGATCTGTTACCTGCATCATCACGTGTTCTTGATTACTGTAGCTGTAAAATAGGCCTTGATTGGGTAGAGTGAATGAGCCCTTTGATTACATTTTTAAAGCTTGTTTTAGCCCTACTATATCCTAAGCCTTTCTATCAAGTTTTTGTTCTGTTTTACAGTGCTGGAGATCAAATCCAAGCCTTACACAAGCCTTACTTATGCTAGACAAGTACTCTGCCACCAAGCCACATCTCCAACCCCAGTCCTTCAAGTTTTTGAATAAGTTTGTCTATGTCCACAGAATAAATAAGTGAATAAAAAAGGCCAGGAATGGTGGCACATGTCTGTAATCTAAGTGGATTGGAAGGCTGAGGCAGGAGGATCAGGAGTTCAAAGCCAGCCTCAGCAAAAGCAAGGTACTAAGCAACTCAGTGAGACCCTGTCTCTAAATAAAATACAAATGGGCTGGCGATGTGGCTCAGTAATCCAATGCCTCTAAGTTCAATACCCAGTACCTCCCCCTGAAAAAAATACTGTACTGGGATTTTAATAGAAATTGCATTAAACCTATAGATCAA